GGGATCATGCCGTAGATGACCCCGATGGCGCCGTACTGCATGAACAGGGCAAACGCTTCGCGGGAGAACAAGTCCAGCGCCCCCCCTTCGGCCAGCGCCCCCCCGTTTTCAAGGGTGTCGTCCAGGTCCTTGGGGGTTTTCGCCTCGGCGTACCCGTCAACGTCTTTGGTCGTGTCCGAGTGGATGTACGACACGCGTTCTTGTAAATCCAAGTTGTTGTCGACCTGCATGGAGAATTCGTAAATGACCGATCCACGGAATATGTTCGTACTACAAATTGTCAGTTGGTGTCGTAAAGACGATAAGGACAACCCCCACATCCGCGAGATTGCGAAACTGGTTTAAGCGTGGCGGTACAGTAGATATTTCAACTTGCCAACTCTTAATACTTCGAAGTATGTACTACACTGTACTACCGGTACGGTAGACCAACGAAGGTTTCTACGTTGATATATTTGCAGCAATGTAAGGGGCGATGAGCTCTTTGCTTCAGTATTGTGCATATAAGGTCATGGTGCTTGGTGTGAAGGCGTAATATATTTCGAGCAGAAGCACGCAGAGGTACTGTATGTCTAGGTGGGTGTATTTGGGATGGCCACAAATTGTAGGATACTGTACCGCTCACGGAGCATAGCACGTTACGAACTGACGACTTGAGATTTCAATCGTTTGTACTACTGTACATAGTTCCTAGGAGGTGAATATTGACTTGAACTTGTCTCAAACTCGTCGTACCAATCAACGACTCTGAAGTGCATTCATCATGGGATGTGTCATTGCAGCCGTCAAGAAAGTGCGCACGACCTTGGAACGTGTTTATTGCAACGAAGAGACTACTACTGTAGTAGTATTCTTGTAGTACATGTAATAAATCATTGTTTGCAGCTGAGGTCGCAGCACTGGAACTGGAGGAAATACGTGGTGGCCAGGAGTTGCCCGACTGGTAGGTTTGTTAAGAGGTACAGGTAAAGCCACAATGAGGCGCCTAAGGCCACTTTATAACCCCCTGCTTGTCTTTGTCCACAAAATCTCGGCAAATTTCGCTGGAGAAATACTAAGTATGGACATAAACACGATGTTGTATATACCTTTGTAACTCCTTGTTTGGTAAACTTACAGTACTTGAAGTATTACCCATCAATAAATTGTAACCTGAGACGAGACAGCCACTCCACCACGTGTTGTACAGAGCACGACTTAATATTTCTAGCTGTGATCAAAAGACTACAATGACTTTAGGACATCCCTAATGGTTAGGTCGTTCTAACTCAAAATATATGATGTCGGTGCACGCTACAAGTAACGCTACTTGCCTCGGGATACACCGGTATGTATACAGTAAAGTACACTGAAGGAGCACTAGCATTCAACACCCCCCCTCACTCTGTTACATAAAAACCTCCAGTGATCGACATCATCAAAGGGAAATTTGAAATCACCCTATGTAGACCAGTCAAGTACTACTAGTATAAGCGACCAGACGGCGGCGCGAGAGATCCTTCGATCGCTCGCATGTTTCGCAATCTCGCGGATGTGGGGGTTGTCCTTATCGTTTTTACGACACCAACTGACAATTTGTAGTACGAACATATTCCGTGGATCGGTCATTTACGAATTCTCCATGCAGGTCGACAACAACTTGGATTTACAAGAACGCGTGTCGTACATCCACTCGGACACGACCAAAGACGTTGACGGGTACGCCGAGGCGAAAACCCCCAAGGACCTGGACGACACCCTTGAAAACGGGGGGGCGCTGGCCGAAGGGGGGGCGCTGGACTTGTTCTCCCGCGAAGCGTTTGCCCTGTTCATGCAGTACGGCGCCATCGGGGTCATCTACGGCATGATCCCGTCGCTCAACTACCCCATCTTCAACATTTACCTCAACTTGGAGGGGTACCAAACCGCATCGTACGGCGTGCTCATCGTGGTCGGGTGGTCGTTCAAGGCAATATTTGGCATGTTGTCCGACTGCGTCCCCATCTTTGGCTACCGTCGCAAGTCGTGGATGTTGATCGGGTGGACCATCACAATGATCTGTCTGAGTGTGATGACGTTTTCGTCGTTGGGCGAGCCGTTTTGCAATCGCGAAAAGACCAAGTACTGCAG